CCCCCCCCCTCCCCCGTCCGTTCCCCCAGTCAGCGCTGGAGGATCGGAGCGGGGGGGGGGAATCCAGCCCCTCCCCTGTCACGTCCCCTTCCACACCTTCTCTGTGTGGAAGCAACGGCCTCTCTGCTGAGGTCTGACACGCCCCCTGCTGAGTCAAAGCGGGAGCACTCCAATCAGCTGGGAGCATATGCTCTGCTGATTGGAGAGCTACAGTATAGGTCTGACTCAAATTGCCAGGTCAGTGACCTCAATTCTCTCCACTGTAGTTAAAGTGTATTTCTAGACATTACCAATATTTGCAGCTATAGCCCCTCTACAGCATGTATCAAGAGAAAGTGTTTATTACTCCCTATGACATCATCACCAGGCTTCTACATTATGTGCAGGGGCAGAGCCAAGACCAGAACTACATCTCCCAAGAGTCCTTTCCCTACACACATTGAGTGGATAGGCTCTTGGGAGTCGGGACAGCGGCATTGCTTGGTAGGAAAAAAATCAATGTATGCATATGGAGAGGGGATGGGTGGAGTTCTGTAGTCCAGCAGGGAGGCCTGACAGCCTTTCGGAACCATTTTAACACAGAGGAACCCTTCATAAATAACTTTCAGGTCTCAGGGAACCCTGCCAATAGTTACTATATCTGCAGCTCAAAGTACATTAGCTTGGTGGCTAGAGGGAAGAATGCCCCTTACGTTAGTGGCCAGTGGGAAGAATGTCAGTTACATTGGCAGCCAGTGGGAAGAATGTCCCTTACATGGGTAGCCAGTGGGAAGAATGTTGTTTACATTGGTAGCCAGTGAGAAGAATGTCCTTTACATTGGTAGCCAGTGGGAAGAATGTTGTTTACATTGGGAGCCAGTGGGGATAATGTTGTTTACATTGGGAGCCAGTGGGAAGAATGTTGTTTACATTGGTAGCCAGTGAGCAGAATGTCCGTTACACTGGTAGCCGATAAGAAAAATTTCTGTTACATTGGTAACCAGTGGGAAGAATGTTCTTTACATTGGTAGCCAGTGGAAAGAATGTCCTTTACATTGGTAGCCAGTGGAAAGAATGTTCTTTACATTGGTAGCCAGTGGAAAAAATGTCCTTTACATTGGTAGCCAGTGAGAAGAATGCCCCTTACATTGGAAGCCAGGGGTACGAATGTCCCTTGCATTGGAAGCCAGTGGTAAGAATGTCCTTGCATTGGAAGCCAGTGGTAAGAATGTCCCTTGCATTGGTAGTCATCCCCCTTACAGATAGCTAAAAAGATCATTGATGTCAGTGGTAACTTACCTGTGAAGCAGAAACAGCTCAATACACCCCTAGCAGCCTCTGGAGGAACACTAGGACAATACAGAACTCTGGAGAAAGACTACTTTAGGCAATACATCTTGGCCAAGGACTATCCCAGCTTGCTGAATGGTCATTGAAGGAGTTCCTGTGCTCTAATGCTAGGCCGACAGCAAAGCAATAAAACGCTAGCGGACTAAAGCTTGTTAGAATTTCCTATGAACGTTCATGCAACAAATCTCATCAGAACATTCGATAATGCCATCAGAGACTTGACAAATGTCGTTCAAAATCTTGTTTAATTCTAACATCTGGAAAGGATGGAACTTCCTGAATGAAAAATGTCCATATTGAACCTTCATTTTTTTTCGTCACTGTGATCGAAATTGATTGTCAATTTGACCCTATAAAATATTAGAAAATCCTTTGAACATTCCGAAGATGAACGAAATTCAAACCGTGCATAACCAGCTTTAGAGTGCTGACCCTCCTGCTTCCAGAGTGAATGCCACTGTGCAAAGGAGTACAGCAAGCTAAAATTTAAGGCATATTCAGGAGCTCAGGAACATAATATTTACAAATACATGTAATCATTTTAATGAATACATAACTTTGATTGGTGTTTTATATCTGCCTTGAATGCAGCTTTACAGTAGATCTAAACCAAATGTTATACTTTAGAATTTAGGTTAGTTTTCTTTTTGCTGTCTTGGTGCGATTGTTGAGGTATCGCTCCACTTCCTGTCCCAGTGATACAACAGGAAGTGAAGGGAAATCTCTCCAAAATGAGGGGACTCACCAGAACATGTGTCCCCATTGGAAGAGATCCCTTTACCTCTTGTTCTATCGTCCACTGTAAATTTTGGATCTCCGATCACTTTTGGTCAACATGACAAATACCGTGTTTCCTCGAAAATAAGACACTGTCTTATATTTTTTTGCCCCAAAAAAACACACTAGGCCTTATTTTTCAGGGGATGTCTTATTTTTTTTAATGTGCAACAAAATGTACAACAATCCAAAGTTAAGAAAGAAAAATCCCTTTCTTTCACTTTCACAGGTGGAGTGCATCTGGTATCACTCCGCCTGTCACAGTAACCGGCGCTATAGAGGAAGTATCGGCAAATGCGGCTCTGCTCCCTCCGCAGCCTTGCTTTTTACAGCGCCTGCTTCCTTTGCCATCAGGGACAGCGGTACCAGCGGTGCAGCAGTGGGGACATCAGACAGTGGACAGCGCGGTAAAGTACAGTACCATTTACCGGTACATATTACAGTACAGTACCTATTACATTAAGCAGCGCCTTCAGGGGGACAGCAGTTGGGGAAGTATGGTACTGGAGTGCTGCCTGTCACTGCGCTGGCCGGGAGGAGTCCCCTGTCATCCCCTTAATACAGTATGTCCCTGAAGGCTAGAAGGGGCAAATCTAGAGATAGGTAGAGATTTTAACCCTTCTCTTCTCTGTACTTAACCTTTTTGGCTTTAGACCCCTTTAAAAGAATCATACTAGCAAATTAATTTTTACGTAGCGGCCCAGCTCCCAGTTCTCCTTTAATTAGCGAGGTGGCAGCGGTTTAGTTGCTTGACGTGACTGTAAGACGTTCGCTCGTAGCGCTGCTCAGAGAGCTTATCACAGCAATGCAAAATGGAATTGATTCGTCATGACAGGAAATTTCCTAGCTTAAACCAGAAGAGAGAACAGCTTGTGCTATCTGATCAGAGGCCAATGTGTTTCATCTCTGCAATTTTTCATTTACGAGACACTGATATGAATGAGTCAAGCAGGAGAAAATGCTGAGAGTAATCTCCCGGAGCCAGCAGGGGCCGGTTCTGTCTACTCACATAATAACCGAGTCCATCTGATTCCAGATATCCATGAGGT